GGAAAGAACAAGCACCAAGGATCTAAGGAATATGGGGGATATTAAAAAATCAATATGCCGAGACTATATATATATATACACACATATACATATATATTATAGTTGTAGTATAATATGAAATAATATGTTATTATTTGTAGTGGTATGATATGATTTAATAGAGTATATCTTATGTTAGAATATGATATAATATAGTATATCTTATGTTAGAATATAATATGATATGTTACGATAACGATATAATATGATATAATATAATATAACCTACTCTAATATAATAAAATATAGTTTACTACATTTATAGTCCATCCCGTGATTATACAAGATATTCGGGAATTATCGGAGGGCCGATCTTCTATTTATATAAAACTGGCTTGGAAGAGCGGGAAAAAAAAGCAATTTTAAATCTATAGAAGGTAAACTAATTCAAAGACCGAAAATGGTAGAACATCTGGGATGTTGGAGGTACTTTTGCACTCGCCGTCACTGTGGTCCCGGGAGGGTCCAAACTAATATCTTCTATTTAAAACCCATTTACACCAACACCAATAGCACAAACTCGCTGGATCATCCAACCAAATATATTCTATTTAAAAATGGTTTGTCGCACAATCTTGTTTCGAGAATTGGGGTTGGTATGAATCATACCGTATGATCAACATCTTCTCTTTGAAATAGAAGATATTGCAAAGATCGTCCCAATGTTGAGGGGGTTATTGTTGGATTTTTTGTAATTTTAGCTACGTCTTGCAATCTGCAATATCTTTTTTTTTTAAATGCTGTTGGCCGCACCCCCCAAAATGCTTCTTCTATTTAAACATATTCCTGAAAATATTCTCTATAATCATAAAAAGTGTGTATATATATGTATACAATATATAGCTTTAACAATATATATATATATAATATGTATATATATAATGTATATATATATATATATCTATGTGTGTGTATGCATGCAAGCGTTTCCTTGATGTTCTTTGCTGTATTGAAAAGGTTCTTCACACTTTGTCAAACTACCACCTAAAATACTGCAGTTGTATATGCTAGGATACATACATATATACATATATATATAATATTATAATGATGTTCAATACATATATATATATATGTATATGCTAGAATATATATATATATATATTAATTTTAAAAAACAATATATATATAATATGTTAATATATGTTAATATATGTTAATATATGTTAATATGTTAATATACATATATATTTATACATATAACTGGTGTATATATGATGGAAAAACAAGAAACATTATTATGGTGAACAACGAACCATTTCGGCACTTGAAAGTCTGATTTGGGCAACTCTGCCATTGAAATTCAGCTTGCAGAGGACCAGTAGCTATGTTAATTTACAGGGCAAGCCATATGGCGAAGCCATCATACCTTGCATTCAGTCAATAACTTGGCACATCTTCAGAGATTTTATGACCTGACAAGCCTGAAATGACCTGACCCAGGAACTTGAAAGCGATGTTCCCAGGGAATCAAGCTGGTGGCTGGCTATTGACTCTTACCACCTTTCAAGTGGTTCCAATCTACATGGTGATTTTTGTGTCTCGGCGCCAAGTGGGACTGAGAAGGATGGCTCCAGCTAAACCGTGGTTGGACCAGGGTGAAAATCAAAGAAGATGCTTGAAGATTTGGCTCACATCACTTGAAAAGGTATTTGTTGGAGATGGAATCCTTTTTTTTTGTCGTGTCATGTGAAGAATTATAGGACATTTCTCAACCCCTGTTATTTACACTAATGTTTCTGTTCATTTACACATGTTGAGTGTGCACAGACAGAATTGATTAGACTTCTTGTAGCGATTCGGCACAGTCGCATGTTTTTGTCCGAGATCTGGGGAGGATTTGGGAGCAGAGTTGCAGAGGTAACAAAAAAAAACGCGATCTGAAACCCAACCTGGTTGGTGGTTTCAAACATGACTTTTTTGTTCCATAATATATGGGAATAATCATCCCATTTGACAAATATTGTTCAAGATGGTTAAAACCACAAACCAGGACTTTGTATGGGAAAGTACGGTGAGAAATTCCACATTTTGTTGACATGTCGGCATGTCGCACCAAAGGCCCCATCTTTGCCAGTTAGCCTCTGTTTTTTTTTCACAATGTGCTACGGAAAATGGACCATGTATAGATTCTATAGATTATAGATGTTTTTGTTTACCTTTTGAAAATAGTGCTTTTCGATAGCAAACTCTTAAACTATATAATT